AACAGGTTCTGTGGGCAGAAACAGCTACTTACCAAAAATACACTTTTCCCAGGACTTCAGCTCCTTTGTTTAACTCCTTTCTTGCTTTCGTCAGCTGTCTGCTGTGGCTCATTCTGCTCCCATATGTCGTTCTGTTCCTCCTCGCTCTCTTTGACCTCTCCGTCACCTTTCCCATCATCCCCCTCTGCCGAAGCTTCACTCTGGCGTACACTGACAGAGATGACCAGCGCTTGCACGATACCGTAGATCAACGCAAACGGCAGCAGGTACTCCTGTACCACCCACAGCAGTCCGGCCATCCCAACAGACGACACCAGAAACATGGCCATCCCATGGAGCCACAGCTTCAGGGCCCCCTGCACCCCCATCACGTCCAAAATGAACTTGGTCGGAGGGGATACGGTGGTCAGGAAGCCCACCACAAACAAGTCAAAGAGGTGGCGGAGGAAATTAAAGCAAATATCGTAGTGCTCAGGCACGATTTTCCCCGTCCATGAGCGAGAGAAGAACTGGAATGCTGATGTCTGCTGGGACAGCGGTGTGGGGGACGGAGGGGGCGTCCCGTAGTCTGATTCCCCGTCGACTTCATCGCTGTCCCACGTCCCTTCATTCCACCCGGCACATTTCCGCTGGCTTAACGCAGTGGACGATGACCACCTGGGCCAGAAAAAGTATCTGGATGGAAGCATACGGCTCCACCAGCGTGAGGACCTTTGGGCCGCTGCTTTCTCAATCTCAATATCAGCCCTCAGCTCTTCAATGTCCAAAGGCTTGATAGTCTCCTCAGTCTCCCAGAATTCCTCTGCGATTGTCTTTTGGTCCTTTTTAGTGTTCTCGCCCCTCCAAACCCAGGCAGTAAGTCCCCATAAGCCCCATCTGCTTTCAGTCTGATTGTCCGTTGTTGGGGGTTTCTCAGGTTTGGCCTTACTGCCCCAGGACAAGTACAGATTTGCTGGACTGACCCACCCCCAAACTCGCCCTACAACTGCGGTCATGTCGGCACTATTACTTTATAATGCACAAAGGAGGAAATTAAAATGCTATAACATTAATAAAGTGTCTGTGTGGGGCAAAAGCTCATATAATTGATAATTACACATTAATAACTATAGTATAAAGCAATAATAAGCACAGCCACCTCTTCATCTAATGGTATAGCTATTTAAAAAATCAGAAAACGACGTTGAGTGTCCCTTTATTACGACATATAAAGTTGTACACCGCTACAAGTATAAGAAGGCATCTAAACAATGAGACCTCAACATACCTGTATTAAGGCGTGTTTGTATTAAAGCAAATGAACCAGAAAACAACTGACGGCCACACCCGTGCAAATCACTCAATGACAGGAAAATAATATAATTTTTATTAAAAATTAAAAGCGAAAACAAAACAAAAAATACTGTGGTAATGGGGTTTCGTTTATTTTTGAGCTCTAAAGGCATTTTCCTCAGGCGAAACGGCGTCGGTTAGCATGTCTGAACAAGCCGAGCGACTCTGAAACTTTAAACGCTAAACTGTGTCGATGTCGACCGGCGAAACACTAGCGACCGGAGAATCAAACATACCTGCGACCCCAAATCTTCAGTTCTATATGACTGCAGTAAGGACACGCAATTACATCTTCCAGACTTCACTTGCAAAAACATTTGAGTTCACTTATCGAAGCCAGCTTCACATTCCTGTCCATTAGCACCCGGCACATACGTGCTCGAAATTAAACCGTTTCAGCACGTAAACAGCTCGACAAAGTGCGAAAATGCAGTCCAGTTTAATTTCAACAGATTCACGGAGTTTTGACAGATAACTTAAGTCTCTGCTGTGTACGAGCTGGTTTGCTTGTCTAGTAATGCTTGTCTAGGGAAGTCCGGCTCATTTCGGCGAATCGGTTCTTTCAAACGGTTCATTTGAAAGAACTGGTTCAACCAATCAATTCAGTGAATTCTTTTAACTCGTGCTGCCTGATATCCCGGCGTGGCATATTATTTGCTCGAAAATGTCCCAATAAAGCCGTATAATAATTAAAGCCATATAATAAAGCCACGTATTGCTGTTCCTTACGAGTATTTCGTTACGAATCATACATGTATGAGAGACTAGCTGGAATAGATGCCGTTTACTTTTTATTATATTTATGCACTTAGCTGACGCTTTTTATGCCAAGCGACAAGCAATTCGCCACAGAGCCAACAAAATTCATAGTGTACAATGCCAGGTTTAGCTAGAAAGCTTTAAAATAGTAAGCAAAGTATGCTAATATGTCATACCGAATTCGGAATACCACACAACGTTTACCTCATATAGTAAAATAAATACGCTAATATATATGCTAAGGTTCAGAATTTAACCAGTCTCTTTCAATTTGTTCTCGGTTCAATGAGTTGGAGTTGTTGACTCGACAACAAATTCATTGAAAAGATTCGACTCAAAAGGACGATTCGTTCACAAATCGGGCGTCGCTACGCACTGCTATGTGCAGAACAGAAGCGGTTACATTAGCATCGCTGACCCGATGACCTTCGCTCTGCAGATTTGTGACAGTCCGTGTAAACTATTAAAATGTATATATTTCCAAAGCGTGGGTTTTATTTTGTTACAACAACAGGTAGGCTAGCAGTAAAAAAAATATGTATAAGCGTGTACCGAAATTGAGTTAAATAGAGTGAAGTCAAATATGACAATAGCCGCCAAGTAACTGAACTCTTTCCATAATAAAAGTCCTTAGCGATTCCTAATAAACAGCAGCTGAAGAGAGGAATGGCATGTCGAATTCATCAAGTCCACCTGTGTGATACATTGTACACGAATACTTCAAAAGACCCATAAATAAAAATTAGAGCCTATACTGACTGATTCTTAATCTTCAAATATATTTTAAAAATTTAGATAGCATATCAGAATTTCATGAATAACCCATTTCATAAACACAAAGTTCTATGCACTACATTTTTTAATATAAATCATGTATAGGGTGTAAATCAGCTACATGGCATGAAAGCTATGCACTTTTAAAATGACTCCCAAAAGCATTTGCACTAATATTTGACCGTATCTAACAACATGAATAAGATTAAGGCATAAAACTACAAGATAGCCCCGCTACTCCCATAAAAAAAATAAATAAAAAAAACAATGACTTCATATTGAACTGTAATAGTAATTTTTATTAAATGTAAAAGAAAACTGTACATTTTTAGAAAAAGCAGCATACAAAGAACTGAGAAGTCAAAAACAAGCAGTTACTTTCTCAAACTGTCCTTGGAATGACATACAATGACATTGAAACACAAGTGTATAAGTTACAATAACTACAGAGGAGCTTTAGTTCACCATTGTGCTGCAAACCGGGCACCACAACTCTTCTGCCACTGCATCAACTTCTGTCCTTGAAAGAAAACGCGTGTATTAGATTACAAAGGGGGAAAATAAGTGTATTAGTTGCCTGTCAGTGTTTCAGTGCGCCGCGAGAAAGTTACTTCATTGAGTTTCAGTGGAACCGAACAACGCGCTCATCATTAACACCCAATTACAACCAAAGGTAAGTTTACTGGGCCAGTACTTACACAGTGACAGATTCAAAGGAATCATTGGCTCATCATTCTGGCATCATGTCAACCTAAAAAAGATAAAAAAATAAAATCCAACATTAACTAGAAGTTCTTAGTAATAATAAACACGTTTTCATAATCAAAAGCTGTGCTCAGAGAAATGTGAAGAGCTTCATGTTGTCATCAGAGACTATTGAATCATCACTGCACATCACTGATAAAACATCAGCACTGTCCGGACACCAACCTTCATGTTGATTCATGTGGGCTGGAGACGATGTCTAGGCCGGCTTCAAATCCTTAGTTAAAAACCTTGAAAATAAACGCTAATTGTTAGAGATTATCATGGGCCATACTTGCAAATTCATATGCATAAGAAACAATCTCTTACCCACTAGTCGTCAACCGCTGCCATCAGCCATCCTGCTGGAATCCAACGTGTAAATGTATCTAGACATTTAGAGACATTCAAAGCCACTTCTGCTCAGTCGCAAGCTGTACTGCATGTGTTCAGTGCACTGTGAAGAGCTTCAGGAGTAAATCAGAGACTCTAGTCTAATGATTCAACATTGCATGCAATAATAGACAAGAAACCATGCTTTTAAAAGCACTAATTATTTGAGGTTTTCATTGGCATCAACTAGCTCTTACCTGCTGATCGTCAGCCGTTAACATCAGCTGCCTGGCAACATCTGCTCCTCCCATCCAACCTGTAAAAAAATTACTTTAGCATTTAGACAAAATCCAAGCCACTTCTGCTCAGTCACAAGCTGTACTGCATGTGTTCAGTGCACTGTGAAGAGCTTCAGGAGTAAATCAGAGACTCTAGTCTAATGATTCAACATTGCATGCAATAATAGACAACAGGGGTTTTCAATCTTTCAGATGTCACAGACCTCCAAATAGGGTTAGAGGGACCACCATTCTGAAGTTTATCAGCTATATATTTATATGTATAAAGACCATATTTATACCTTATTAGTTTGCAAAGTATTCAGTTACTATTACATAGTTTTCAGTTACATTTTTAGTACAGTAAATGTATTATGTACTTATTTAAATACATTTTTTTATCTTTTTATTTTAATTGAATGTATTTATTTATTTTTAGTTTATTTATTATATTTACTTTACGCTGTTTTTCTCTGTTTTGAAACCCCCTGAAAGAAAACAGAAGTGCCGTGTCTCATACTTGCGTCACTGGGGAATTGTTGCAGCTTCGGTACATTCTCTGAAATTTGGTTTCCCAAAACATCAATGTTCAGCTTAAGTAAATATGATCTGCAAAACAGTGAAGGTAATATATTATCAAGTCATATTGGGCTAAGCATGTTGATCTATGGACTAATGGCGCATTCGAGCACGAGGCCATCAGCACCATCGCGGTAAAGTTGGTTTTATATTGGACATTCGTTTGACATTCGGACTTTCCTTACCTTTACGTGAATAAACGCGCTAAAAGTGGCCGCCTGTGCATAGATATAATGGTATGACGTGATACTTATGTCGGATAATGTTCTTTCTTGGTAAAACGCCTTTTAAATGTGTGAGAAAGAATCGCGCAGCGAATGACATTTAACAGGGTCCTAATGCTGCAGTCAGGGTAGCGAAATATCTGCCTGCATGAAAATACAAACATATTTTGTGTTTATGTTGCATGATTTTTTTTTTTTCATTTGTTTTCTTTTTCTTCTTTATAATTTATTTAAACAAAATGATGCATGCACTTTCTAATAGTGAGATGGGATATTTGGGATACTAGAGCATGCAGTAGTAATTGCTGGAAATTAAATGTTGTTAAAAAAAACAACATCAAATAAGAGATAAAGTTAAATGTTCTTAAAAAGTTGCCAGGGGAAATCAGAAATATAAAATATATATATATACGAAAAATATAAAAAGAAACATAAATATAAAAGAGTACAACTATTGCTGTATTTATATGATCATATCTACTGACTGCAATATATAATAGATATGTTTGGTTGCTATGCAGCACAAAGTTGTGCGTCGTTGCCAAGAGGAAACGGAAATAAATCCTTAAATATAAAGCACTAAACTGTGTTTTGGGGTAAGCGATACAAAAAAATAAATAAATGAATAAAAATACAGGTCATTCATCGCTACCTCAAGAACTGCAGCATGCATCCACAGAATGGAAAGCACCTTCTTCTTCTTCTTCTTCTTCTTCTTTGACGTTTTATGGCGGTTGGCAAACCAGCAGATTTCTACCACTTTCTAAATGAAAGATTTTTATGTTTACATTTATGGAAATATAACTAGAAACTATCCTGCAGGCGTGTGCACGGTGTACTACTCCTCCAGCGGAGTGAATGAAGGGAGTGACACAAACACAACACAATGGGAGGACAGAAGCAGCTCCGATAACACCGCTATACAGCTGTGCCTTTAAACCAGCCCACTGCTGAAGCGGCACTGATGGGGGACTGGTGCTTTAACTAAGTCAAGTGCAGCGAGAATCGATTGGCGCTGTGATACATGCAGCAGGGCATTAGTAGTGTATTGTCTTAAGATTCCAGATCTGTGGCACTGATGGGGGACTGGTGCTTTAACTAAATCAAGTGCAGCGAGAATCGATTGGCGCTGTGATACATGCATCTGAATCTGCAGCAGGGCATTAGTAGTGTATTGTCTTAAGATTCCAGATCTGTCCTTACAATGGATTTCCCTTTCGACCTAAACGCGCTTTTCCCCGAGAGAATTACTGTGCTGGACAACAATTTGAGTGCAGGTCGGAAAGCGCATGGGAGGTACTGTATGCTTTAATGTGTGCTGCTGGGAGAGATGGGTGTAATCTGTGTGCATCGTGCCCTGCTTTCGTCTTGTAACAGTGGTTGACACTGTTGTCGTGCATTGTGCTAGCAGTGGGGGGTTTAGGATGTTGTTTTATTAGGCTAAATGTTGCATTTGGTCCAGGTCATCTTTTTCCTGTAATGATAAGCCCATTGCTGTATGGAGACGGATGAGGATGCAAATGCGGCCCTGAGTAAAAACAAATCTGACATGAGTCTGATTTAATCTGCCATTGGTTTAATCTGAACGATGCTGATTCAGCAAGACAGCCACAGACTTGACTGTAATCACACAATAAGAAATCTCACCCTGCTATAGATAGATTGATTATAACAAGAATTTTCTAATAGATAAACATTTTATAATGGATAAACATTTTCTTTAAATTTAATATAAATCAATATTATGATAATAATACAATAAAAATATTTTAAGAATACATTTGATTTGTAATGCGTTTTTCTTATACTTAAAACGCTACATTGCATTACAAAGAATCAAATAATACATTATATATAAATAACAATAATAGTTAAATATTCTAAACTTTACTGAAAAGATGTGTTTGAGCAGTTTCTTAAATCAATCAAGTGAAGGGGCATTTCTAATAGAAGCAGGTTATGAATTGCATATTTTTTGAGCAATGCAAGAAAAAGCCATTCCTCCCATAGATAGATTTATTGATAACATGAAGGAATTTGTGGTGCGTTTTCAGCATATATAAGCAACACTGTACAGCATACATTCCAATAAATACAAAAATGATAGATTTTAAATAAATTTTATAATTCACCAAAATTTTTTTTTATTTAACCAGTATTTTGAGTATTCAATTTGCCAACATTACAATGAAATAAAAATTTACAATAAAATTATTGTATAATTTACAATTTAAATGAAATTAAAATTACATTTACATTTAATCATTTAGCAGACGCTTTTATCCAAAACGACTTACAAATTATAGGACAATAGAATCAATCAAAACTAACAAAAAAAGCAACAATATGTAAGTGCTGTGACAAGTCCCATTTAAAGTTGCATATTGATTCGAATTGAATCAGATGCTCTTTAGAAGTTTCCCAACCTTTTGGACACGAGGCTGAATCCAGCTCTTATTCATAGCTTCTGATTGACACTATCCGTTCCACCTTAAAAGACGCACGCTTCCGTGTCAGTTAGCTTCTTATTCACTCTCAACTAGGGACCGTGCGGCTTTTTCTCTTTTTCATGCTTTTTAAGAGATTATGTTGCTTTTGTGTCTATTTTCAGAACAAAAGAATAATAAACTATTTTGAAACGCAAATAACACTGCTATATTAGCAAAAATGGACTGTAAAAATATAAGGTCACATAAAATATAATTACAGTGTTTTTTCATTATTGAAGAGATTATGCCAGCTACAGCTTGGATCCAGCCTCTTATGAAGACTTCAGATGACCCAACACCTTTGAGTAGATGACACCTACCTCTGCAAGGACTCCAGAACATCAAACATGGATGATTATACAAAATGATCATGCTATCATTGTTTTAAAGTGCACACTAATTTTGCTTAAATTCATACATATTTGTAAATACTGTAATTTGTACTACCTTAAAAACTGTAGGCCTACTTTCTGGATCCAAACTGTAGCTGGCATAATCTCTAGTCACCTCGGGATATTGAAATTTGTAATAATTTTTGAATTATTATTTTTTAATTAATGAATAAGAGAAAAATCACACGGTCCCTAAGTAGAGCTGATGACATGTTCAATAATTAAAAAATACTGTAATTATATTTTATGTGCCTTCATATTTTTACAGTCCATTTTTGCTTATAAAGCATTGTTATTTGCGTCTCAAAATAGTTTATTATTAGTTTATTTTGAAAATAGACACAAAAGCAACACAATCCCTTAAAAAAGCATGAAAAAGAGAAAAAGCTGCACGGTCCCTTAACTGAGCGAAGCTAACTGACGTGGAAGCATCACGTCTTTTAAGGTGGAACGGAAAGCCTCCATCAGAAGCTGCGAATAAGAAGCTGGATTCAGCCTCGTCACACGGTCCCTAAGTAGAGCTGATGACATGTTCAATAATTTAAAAATACTGTATACTGCCTTCATATTTTTACAGTCCATTTTTGCTTATAAAGCATTGTTATTTGCGTCTCAAAATAGTTTATTATTAGTTTATTTTGAAAATAGACACAAAAGCAACACAATCCCTTAAAAAAGCATGAAAAAGAGAAAAAGCTGCATGGTCCCTTAACTGAGCGAAGCTAACTGACGTGGAAGCATCACGTCTTTTAAGGTGGAATGGAAAGCCTCCATCAGAAGCTGCGAATAAGAAGCTGGATTCAGCCTCGTCTTTTGGACTCCAAGGCTCTCTTTTTTCCAAGATAATATTCAAAGGCCCTCATATCTAAGCTAATATCTCATATATAAACTCAAAAATAATAAAATGTCAATTTAATGTTGTATCTACATTGATACATTTTTTTGTATCAACATTTTAATTAAGATTATATTAATATAACTACTTTCTGGGGCCCCCTGGAAGTTGCAGATGCCCCGCGGTCCCCTGGTGGAGAACCATTGCTCTACCTACCCTTGGAACAAATCATGATTCACAACTGTGACGTAACAACACCCTATTGGCTATTTAAAAAAATAGGACAAGCCATTTGATATGTCCCACACAAATGTTTTAATATGTAATATGTCAACACAGGACAAAAACTCCTTTCGTCAAAGATTTCATGGGGTCTTTACATGTATATTTCATTATATCAGCCATTGACCACCTTGATATCAGCGTCAGCTATTGAAAAACCTGTTAAAATGTATAGCACAGCTATATATGATTCCCACTTGTAAACCAAACAGTTATGCATTGTAAATGTGTACGCATCCGTTATGACTTGCATAACTGGAATCATATGCAAATTCACATTTTTACATCTTCTGTGTGTGAGATTCCTAACATACCTGGTTTTTGTTCTCCAGACCAGATCCTCTTCTTCAGATCAGCACAGTTATAGATGAGCTGGGCAAAGCCTCCTCTAAGGTAATAATGACTGTCTTTTGTCTTGTTTTGAGCTTGCAGATGTCATTCACTGTCAGTTTCAGCCTGTCATCATGTCATGTGTGTGTGTAACTCCTCAGGCCCAGCAGCTGCCTGCTCCTATAACCAGTGCAGCAAAGCTCCAGGCCAACAGACACCATCTCTACCTCCTGAAAGATGGAGAACAGAACGGGTTCGCTCGCTTTCTCTATCCCTCCCCGCAGCCTATCCTTCAGATTTAATCTATTTACATGTCAATACAGCTGGCCTCTCTCTTTCCTGTTTTTCCATTTCCATTACATATAAACACATCCTCATCTGCTGTTAATAACAATCTTTGACGCCCTCTTCCTGTCTTTTGCTTTACCAGCGGGAGGGGTGTTATTTTGGGGTTTCTGAAGGTTGGCTACAAGAAGCTGTTTTTACTTGTAAGTGTTTGCTCATTATTGAGTTGGTAATTACATCTTTTTAAACTTGATGCATCAGTGGTTTATAGTATGTTGTAATTGCATCCAGGACCAACGGGGGGCGCATTTGGAGACCGAGCCATTGTGTGTGCTGGATTTCTATGTGACAGAGACACTGCAGAGACATGGCTACGGGCTCGAGCTCTTCGACTTCATGCTGAAAGTGAGTGTCTGTCAGCGGCCTAAATGTATTAAAGGACTAGTTTACAGAAAAATCCTGTCATTTTACCTTCCCTCGTTTCAGTCCAAACCATGTGACTCTCCTGCTTGCGTGGAACACAAAAGGAGATGTTTCAAAGAATGTTCATGCTGCTTTTTTTTTACCATACAATAAAAACAAGCAACAAAAAGCATCAATGAAGTATCATGAAAGTGGTCGATATAATTCATTCTCTTTATTCCAAGTCTGAAAATCTGAACAAACTGAAATGTAATTCTTTATTCCCAGATCATTTCCCCCTTCACCATTAAAACTCATTTGCAAGTGCACATATTCAAACGTGCCCCATCAAGACCAGGTTGGACGTCAACGATGCTGAACAGCATTGCTTTTTGTGTTTCAACCTTGCTGAATGCTATACGGCAAGGTTGAATTTTCAGAAGTGCAAAAAAGATTTGCGCACTATGGTGAAGGGTAAGATTTTTGTTAAAACACTTGCATTTTATTCAGATTTCCATTGAATAACCTAATTTAAAACGAGAGTATATTTTGGGGTATTTCTCAGACAAAGATGTTGTATACATAGAATATAGCGCATTAGTTGTATGGACTGCTTTTCTGCTGTTTTTTGGAGTTTTTGCTTGTGTGGAAAAGAGCAGCAGGAACATTTTTCCAAATATCAATTTTTGTGATTTCCGGAAAAAAAAAAAAAATTTGTGACAGTTTGGGAACAACATGAGAGTGAGTAAATGATGACAGAATTTTCATCTTTGGGTGAGCTATTCCTTTTTAATATGTTCACTTGAGAGAATGGTGTAAGGACCCAGTGGTATTTGCTACTAAGTACAGAGTCCTGCTTGTTTTTGTGACTCATGGTTTCCTGTCCTGAACATAACATTCTGATTGAACAGCACAAACGGGTGGAGCCTGAACAGATGGCGTACGATAGACCTTCTCCTAAATTCCTGTCATTTCTAGAAAAGCACTATGATCTCAAGAACAGTGTGCCTCAGGTATGATCTCGCTTTTAAAGTGAAAGTGCTGCATGGTGCAAAACAATCACAGCCAATCAGAGCATGTTTGGTTTTCTGTGGAGTGAGATTTTTGGGCCAGTGAGATTTTAAAAGCTTATTCCTTTACAGTTAATTGAGTCACACCTGGTTAGGAGAACACGATGTTACTCTTCTCAGAAATGCAAACTGTAATTGAAACAAACTAGATTACACTACTTGATGAAAACGACTTCATCAGATACTATAATAACATGTTATGTCTTGGGTGTAAATCCTGATATGGATTATGTGCATGACGTGTGAGCGTTTTTATTTGCACACAATACAGACTTCATACAATAGTGTTTTCCTCATAAAAGTAGGTGTGTAAATGACCGTTGCAAAACTTGATTGTTATGATGTAATTGTCTAATTTCTTCACAATTGTTCCTCTCAGGTGAATAACTTTGTGGTGTTCAGTGGATTCTTCCAGAGTAGATCAGGTAATGCCTGACTGCATCACTGTTCTTCTGTGGGTTTGGAATGTTGTTCTGGATCTGTGCCAGTGTTCTGTGAGTCGTTCTCTCAGGGCAACCTCCCATTCTCCTCATTATAGTACGTGCAAGGCAGCACTGTATTGAAATTCCTCCTCTTTTTATTTTTCTTTTCTTCCTTAAATTTCTCCAAGTAATTCAGCTCGAACCACTTAACGTACAGAGTCCATTTAAGCTACACCTGACAGTGACAAGGAAATACTGGCCATAAATATTTCTTTTGGCCATGAAACTGTATTTTGCATTATTTTAATCCTTGCTGTTATTGTTAACTAAAAAAATATTTAAAAAATATTTTTTTCATTAATTGAAATGAATCTGAAAATAAAATAAAATATAAATATTAGATGGAAATCTTAAAAGTAAAAGTTTAAGCAAATTTTGAAGTACAAAAATTGCTGCAACTAAAACTGAACTAAATATCAAATATCAAATAAATGAATTAAAATTAAGCAAATATTAATTAATAATAAATAATAAAATTAATTCAATATAAAAAAAAACGAATAAAAATGTCAAAAGCACAAACAATTAGTAAAACTTCAAACTAAACTAAAATCAAAAAATATAAGCTAATTGAAAATATGAATTATACTATAATAACATATAATAATACTTAAAAGTAATTAATTAAAAATATTTTATTTATTTAAATCATATGACAGTGGGATTATTTAGTTGTGATTCCCTGCATGTTGGTGGCAAACACTGTAGTTGTACAACTAATCTATGTCTCTCTGTAAAACTGCTATTGTCACAGAAAAAGTTATTATTATTTTTTCTTTCATCTTGATGGCTTCGGTTTGAGATAAAACTTTTATTTTATTTCAGAGAGGATCACCGATTTCACTTACATGACTCAGGGCTAGGTTATCATTCTTGTTCCATATATAGTTATCAGCCAACTGGTGAGTAACTTTAGATTGAAATGTAATGCAGAAAAAAAGTCCAGAACCTAGTAGTTTCTCTAAAACATTAGCAATATTCTTTTGCTGCCTTGCAATCAAATTACATTTTAGAAGATGCCACAATTAATTGAAGAAAAGTCTGTCTTTGTTGTGCTCATAGCTGTCTTTTGGTTCTTTTATTGTTTCATATTTTTAGTGCTTCTATATTTAAATCAAGTGTATTTCCTGATCTAAATCATGACCTGTTATTTTGTTTTCTATAAAATGTCATCTTTGTACCTGGCAAAAACATTTCCAATGCATTTATTTATGTTTATAAATGACTTACCGAGCCCAGATTTGGGCTGTTTATAGTTGATAGCTATACCCTACACTGGGTTTACCATGCAAACAACTCAAGACACTTATTGTTCAAGTGCTTTTGTCTCATCTACCAAGGAACACCTCCCTCCCCTTCGACGGATCAGGGGATGTATGGATTTTTGTAAGGACATTGAATATCTATTGTTCCCCTCCCCTACCCCACCGTCACCCGGCTTCCACCTTACTTATCACTCCTTTATTGTATACTCAAGTCCACTCATTATAGACTCTTCCTTTGCACTCAAACAGACCCCCATAACCTCTGCCCATATCAATCAGTCCCAACAACTCCCTTGCTGTTCCCCTTTAAAATCCAATTATAGATAAGTGCTATATGTTTTCCCCAAAGTGCAGTGGAATGATAATCGATATATGCATTATGCCCATGGATATTTATGGACATGAATATCTGTGAAGAATGCAGTGTGTGCTGTTTAACTGCTTGCTGAACTCCAGACTTATCCTCTACCTGTTGTTTCCATTGGCTCTTTCTGACCACACTGCTCTTTTTTACAGTGGTCCAACTGAGAAAAGTTCACCCAAAAAAGCCAGAGGGAGAGATCAAACCGTATTCACTAATGGAAAGAGAAGGTGGGTTACTCATAGGCTCCGTGTGTCGGATATTAACCGGTTGGCACAATACAGACCCTAGTAGCTGACATTAACACCAACTAGCTGAATACTGACATTATCCAGCCGCTGTAATAAATAGTTTCAGCTGGAAACAGGCCTCCCATTATTCATTAAATGTCTTGATTTGGTCCATCAGTTACTTTAGAGTTCTTAGGAAAGAGCTTTTTTCAGTCATCACAGGCATTTTGCAAGGAGCAAGTACTCTCACTCCTAATTTAGACATTTTAGGGTTGTAATCAGGGGACTGTGAGTATCTACATCCATGTCTCAATCCAGTCACCATGTATACAGGTAACAAGGTGGAACAAAAAAATCTGTTCTTATTCAGAGCTGGTGTCATTCTTCAAAATACTGGAATGCCATTTTAACGGTTCATGTGGAAGTGATTCAGATTCCTGAACAAATGACTATTACGAGGTGGTTCTATTTACTGATTCAGAAGCAGATAGGACAGTTGATGTAGTCTGATTGTCTAACAAATGATTCTAAGGGATCAGTTATTTTTTGTGAGTTAAAAACCAAAAAGCAAACTAGTATAATCAGATTCCTGAACAAATGACTATTACAAGGTGGTTCTTTTTAGTGATTCAGAGGCATACAGTACAACCAATGAAGTCTGAATGTCGAATAAATGATTGTAATGAGTCCTTTTTTATTGAATTCAAAACATATAACTAGTGTAGTCTGACTCCTGAATGAATGACTCGTATGAACCAGAACATACAGTTCAACCAGTGTTGTCTGATTCCTGAATGAATAACTTTTATGAACCAGTTATGAATCAGAAACATATAGTGTAACCTGTGTAGTCTGATTACCAAACAAATGGCTTTTATGAGCCAGTTATATTTTTAGCCAATCAAAAACATACAACACAATCAGTATAGTCTGATTCCTGAACAAATTCTTTTTAGAGAATCAAAAACGTACAGCACAAACAGTGTTGTCTGATTTTTGAACAAATTATTCGAATGAGTTCTGTTTAGGAAATTACAAACATACAATTTCACCAGTGTAGTCCAATTGAACAAATGACTCTTATGCATCAGCTATGAATCAAAAACATACAGCACAACCCAGTGTAGTCTGATTTCTGAACAAATGATTGTAATGAGCCAGTAATTTATAGTGAGGCAATGGAATTGCATTTCACTTTTTCACATATCTATTCCTTAAAAGTACCAAAAGAATCATAAGTGGAACTGTTAAGGAATCAGTAAGAGGAATCATAATTCATAAATCTTTATGATTCCACTTCCTCTCTTCCGCAGTGGTTCAGGAGGAGCAGAGGGTTCTCCCCTGGCCGTTCGTTCACCCCGCGGGTCCCCCCCACTCTCCCCCTCTGCTTCCGTCATCTCCGCAATCCCGTTCGCTCAGTGTGGGATCCTCCCCCAGCCGTGCCCTGCTCCGCCCCGCCGCGGCCCCCCGGACCCCCTTCTCCCAGCTCAACGACAGCTGCAGGGCAAAACGCACCAGGTGCATCTCAAACACACCTCACGGCCAGTTGCAACATACTTAAGTCTAAATCCAGTACTTTGCTTGCAAATATTTACATCGCATCCTCTTAGCTTTTTCCATCTGGGGCTTATTTTGGAGGCTGAGAGCATTTGCTCTGTGGGAATGAATGTGAAGAGACACTAAGGTCGTTCATGTTCACTATGAGCCACTTCCTGTGTTAGATGAGTGCATGGTCGACTTGGCGGCAGGAATGTGAATTCAGCTCATTAGTGCATCATTAGTGTATCACTGTGTACTGCATAAAGGTCAGATACGCAGTCTGTTTATTCTTCTAACACGTAAGCGGCCTTGACCACTTTCTTTTGGAGAATCGCTAAACATTTCTCCTCCCCTCTTCTCTCTTTCTTCTTCTCCTCCTTTCATCTCTGATTATGACATGCTCGTTTTATGCATTGACTTCCCCAATTATGACACGCTCATTTTGTTGTCGAACCCCTCACTTTATTTGATGAGTTTCAACTATTGTTTCCTTTTAACCACATGCTTTCTCTCTTTTTCTCATTCTCTCATTCCACGCTAGCTCTTTAAATAGATCTAGGCTCAGCTTTCATTGACCCTCAGTCTTTAACTTCATTGTCTTAAACTTCTTAGCTAGTTCCAATTAAAGGAATAGTTCACCCAGAAATGAAAATTTGCTAAAAATCTACTAACCCTCAGGCCATCCAAGATGTAGATGAATTTGTTTCTTCATGGGAACAGATTTGGAGAAAATTAGCATTACATAACTTGCTCACCAATGGGTCCTTTGCTCAGTGAATGGGTGCCGTCAGAATGAGATTCCAAACAGCTGATAAAAACATCTCCTGTCCATCAATTAACATCTTGTCAAGTGAAAAAGCGTTTGTGTTTGTAAGGAACAAATCCATCAAGATGTTTTTAACTGAACTTTTAACTGCATTCGGCTAAAATACGAGTCCTCTCTCCATGGTATTTCATAATATTCATGTTTTTATCAGCTGTTTGGACTCTCATTCTGACGGCACCCATTCACTGCAGAGTATCCATTGGTGAGCAAGTGATGCAATGATAAATTTCCCCAAATCTGCTCTGATGAAGAAGCAAATTCATCTATATCTTAGATGGCCTGAGGATGAGTAAATTTTCAGAAAATTTTTTATTTTTGGGTAAACTATTCTTTTAAAAAGTGAAAACTGATGTCATTCTTTACTCACACTTTTGATAATTTTTCTGTGGAACTCAAAATGAGAATTTTGAAGAATCTTCAGAAGAATGGTGTGAAGATTTTGTAGAATTCTATTTGTATTCCACAGCTAAAATAACAGCCTGTGAGTGGAAAGCAGCTTGATAAAGTCATAACAGAATTTTTCATTGTTTGACTGAACTCAAATTTTCTGATTTTGCTTTCTGCCTTGTGAGTGTATGAATGATACGATTGCCTGTGAAATTATTTGATAATACACATTTGTAATTAAATTAGAATCTCTTTTGGTCTTTTCCATACCCTTTCCAGTAAGGAGTGTTTTAGATAATAGAATAGAGTTTTTTTACTGATCAATTTACTATAGTGTTAACCCTCAACTGTCAAACATCCTCTGTCCTGAGCAGCAAGTAATAAAAGTTGCCACTGAAAAACTGATAGGTGGTATTATTTAATCACTTGTCAATTAATTAATTTGTCATATAACAGATTACTCTAACAGAACATAAGGGATATGAGATGTTATGTATTAGATTCTACACTTAATGGTCCGGAGCTCCTCAGGACCTTGGTTTCATTTTTAAGTCCAGATTTATGTCTTGGCCTTAGGGCTTCGCTCCTGACAAGTGGTTGACTGATAGGACTTATCAATGTCAGAGAATGCTATATGGAAAAATATGTACTGTGCAAACGTTTGGGGGAAGCAAGATTTAAAAAATGTTTTTTAAAGAATCTCTTATGCTCACAAAGGTTAAAAATACAGGAAAAACAGGAATATTGTGAAATATTATTACAACTTAAATGAGTAGTTTTTTAATTTGAATATATTTTTAAATGTAATGTATTGCTGTGATCAAAGCTGAATTTTCAGCATCATTACACCAGTCTTCAGTGTCACATGATCCTTCAGAAATCAGTATAATATGCTGATTTGCTGCTCAAGTAACATTTCTCATTATTATCAATGCTGAAGACCGTTGTGCTGATTAATATTTTTGTGGAAACCTTGATACATTTTTCTTAGGATTCTTTGATAAATAGAAGGTTCAAAAGAACAGCATTTATATAAAATAAAAATATTTTGTAACATTATAAGTTAACGGCCACTTTTGATCAATATAATGTTTGCTTGCTGAATATATGGATTTCTTTTTGCTTTCTTTATTTTTTAAATGATTTTATACTGTAGTTAACAAGATGAACTAAACTCATCTAGAAACCCGTCTGAAGTACGTGTGTTCACTGAAAAGGTTAAAGTACAAAATGGCTCAGAATAAATGGTTCTGAGAAACGCTTGCCACTTGCTTTGATATTTAAAGTCCTAAAATATCAGCCATTGCATTTGACTGCAACTCTGATGTCCAAAAATAAAACCAGACATTAAGTTGCAACATTACACCATACTAGTTTTTTAATCTGTCATGAGATTAAAAATCCTCTGTCACATTACACAATCATTGCCTGTGACCTCTTTCACTGCAATTTGTTTTCATACAATGTTGAGTTTTGAATTTGCGTTTGCAGTTATGTTTAATTACGTTTTTATTTGTTCCTTTTTTCTGTCACATTAATTTTTTTATTGTTCCATTTATTTCATTTTTTCATTTATTTCTCCATTTTCACTCTCCTCCCCTCCCTTCTCCTCGTCCCTCTATTGCTGTTGTTTGTCCATTTCCTCATATCCTGTAGCCATCAGGGTCTGGTTGCCAGGAGCAACTTCTACAGTCGCCATATCAACAGCCGAAACCTCGGGCAATTATTGGTGGAAGAGCAGAACCCCTTGAAGCTTCCAGGTAATGCACCATTTGAACCGCAATCAACCATTTACCACGGCACAACGTGAATCGTTACGATGGTCCTCAGGAAACCACATTAGTAAACCATTAGTAGCTGTCGTGTGTGCTTCCTCAGGGCTGAAAGCAGAGCTCAGTGAGAGAGTGTGTGACACAAGGGCAAACGCAGATGCAGAGGAACACAAACACACTTCAGAAAGGTCGGGCTTTTCTCACATAACCTTTGTGAGAGTCAGTATTGTTTACATGTGAATTGGAAGTGAATACTGACGAAAACACCAGGGATTGAGAGCGAGGTAATGATTAGGCCTCCACAGAATCAACGCCTACAGAATTCCACAGAAAGCACCGGCGATTTCTGCTGAATTTGTTTGTTAATGAGGTTTGCTACGCCAAGTATCACTTTTATTATAGCTCATACTGAGGGTTAGGATTTGAGCAAACCATTAACCCAGAGTATGCAAATTTGCTGCGTTAATTTGTCCCATACTATCATGTTTTTTAATGTTTTTTTTTTTGGAGGACAGAAATCCTGAAGGTCTCTGACAAAGCTTTGTGAAAAAGAAGTGCATTTAATTGCATTGATTGTGCACTTGTCGTGTACTTCAGATCTTAAAAGTATATTTTAATGTAGTTTTACTTGCAGATAGTATGATATCAATGAAATAAAAGGTAGCTTAAGTGCCCTTAAAGAGAGTACACTTTCATGACTATATTTCTTAACACACTTAAGTACACTAAAATATACTTTGTAATAATGTCAAATTTAAAGTATTACTTTTAAAGTATGTTTTATATCATTATTTATTTAATAATCTTTTGTCATGCTTAAAAAATACTTATTTTGATGTGTTGACTAAAGCATGTCCAGTATTTTATAATTGTAACTTTTTTTATGATTTTAACTTTACTTTGTTATTCGATATTAGATTTAATGTTAATATATTTTAATTGCACCAAATTGCAATGTCATTACAAATATATTTATCTACATACAAGTTTCTGTAGAAATGACATTAAAGTATATTTAATTTACCATAAATGTTTGTCAGTACATTCCGCATTACACTTTAACCATATTTCAAAAACAATAGAATTATGAAATGACATATATTTACTTCTGTCCTAATTAAGTCGATCAAAAATGCACTCAAAGTTCAGATAATTGCATTTAATAAAATTGAATAAATGTAAACTATAATGCATTTTCATGTTAATTGCACTTAATAGGCAATTAAGTGTTGGAAAACACAACGTTCAGTTTGCACTCAAGTATATTCCTGATGTAAACATTGACTTCTTAAGCTTTTTTAATGTGTTTCAGTTCACCAAAAAACTAAATAAATAAAAAAAATTGAAACCTGGCTTATTCAATATTTGGTTTAATATGATAATGCTTTCAGCTGCAACTAAGAGTCTAGTCTAGTATCCTCAGATCAGTTTAACACTCGTCATTTTAACCATGCCATTTTGCGTATTTTCTTTTACAAACAGTGCAAAGAATGTCACAAAAGTGTGTGTGTTCTGTGCGGGCCTAGTTACGACAGGACATACAGTATGTGCATGTTCCTACTTTATAATTTTCTTTCTTTTTGTTGTGATACAAGTTTGGTTTCACTTCTGCTTCTCTTCTCAGCCTTGGCCTTGTACATCATTCACTTGAAATGATCTTCTCTGCTGCTTAATGTGCTTCTTTCTCTCCATCTTTCATTGTTTTTTATCTTCTTTTCCAGACCGCATCCTCAAGGCCAGGTTGTGTCCCTTCCGACACGTGCCGCCCCCAAGAAAGATCATGTTCAGGAGCAGACCTCTATAACAGCCCTGGAACGCAGAGAAGAGCTGCAGACCAAAGTGTCACAGAACAGAGAAGAGGGCTGGAGGAAAGGTGGAGCGGCTGCGATGGAGAGGGGCGGATGGTCCTGGACGGTTGGGGAGAGCCGCTGTATGGCCCAGTGGGTCCGACAGAAACAGGAGTATCGCAGCACACGGCCCTGATGACAGAAGATGTTAAGAACAGAAATGAACTGTTGGACATCGCAAAGAAGTGAGAATAATAAAGGGAGAGAAAGAACTTTTATTAAACCACAAAAGTGAAAAAGACCTTTAATGAAAAAAACATCAAGCAGCTATTTGTAACTTTTTTTTTATCAGTCCTATTTATAAATGTGTCAGCTATTCATTTTATGGCTTGTGCTTTTATAATCACAATGTTTTATAATGTTCTCCAAAAACCGGTCAATGCAAAAGTACAGACTTTTTTGTGAAAATTAAATTAAATGGTTAAACATTTGTTCTGCTCGATTCATTTATACCGCTGCTCTCAAACAACATAAATACTTTGACAGTCAAACTGATGCTCATTCTTATACACTGATCACATAATTCCATGATTCCCTTAAGGAAATCCTTTATATTATACTCAAACAGATTAAACCAAGGACATTAGTGCATGCGGTTCTTAGTAGCATGTCTACAGTAATAATACATGTACCGTCTGTCAGTCACAGCAGACATCATCAACAGACACTAAAATACAAACACATCACAAAGTTTTTTGCTATGTGCATTCATCTGGAATATACATTTGAAAAATGTTCCCTCTCAGATGTTCAAGTTGACATTTTTGTGATCTGCTCTTTTTAAGATGTTCTTAATTTGTCTAATAATAAGAATAAGTGCTCTTCAGGTAATTTTCTCTTTAACTGAAGCCTTGGAAATGTACGTGTGCTCACTGGGATGGTATTAGTGCTGGTGTCAAGCCAGTTTGCTCAAGCAGGTTCCCGTTCAGTGTCTGCATTTCAAACCTGTCAACTTGTGACATTTCCCTGCAACACGCTCTACAGAGTGTCACTTAAGTATGTGTGACATTTAGTGAATTCTAGTTACCTAAAAACAACCAAAAACCCTTTTTAATAACATGGGTTCATATTATTTCGATTTAAAAAAGGGCCAAACTCAGTGATAGACCTTTGATTTCAATGTCTACAGTCACATTTTCTTCAAATGAATGACGAGTACAGCTTTAATATGCAATCTGTGATCATAAAATCATAATATGCTAATGCACAGGGTTTAAAATGTCTCAAACATTTTAAACTCAATCTGGCCGTCTGATCTCAAGCCTACGAGGAAGTTTTTAACTTTTATTTAAAGTACTTGTGTTCATATTGCTTATTTAGATGACAGTCTATTTTAATTTTGTCTTGGTGAGAGCTTGAGGTTTTGTTTGAATATATTATAGAATTATTTATTGGAAAGTAAATTCGAGGAATGAGTCATTAGTGCTGCTCCTCTGTAACCACACATACAGTTGGAGTCAAAGAATGGTCTGACCCTAATGAGTGCTCCGGCCTTTCACTGAACAGCCCATTCTTGCCAGACATGTTTTTCCCTTTGTTGACTGTTAACAAGCCATTTAGTCCAGTGATATCGTTTCAGTGTAGCAAATAAAAAAGCCCATATCAAACGTAAAATGTCAGCACTTCTTTCCCCTTTAGACACTATGCATTCAAATTCAATACAATCGCATCATCTCTGCTCGTCTGTTTCACTTTTTTTCACTAAAACGTTCTTCAGTAGTTAAGATGATTTTTTTTCATCACAGAGACAAGTTTGCGGTCTCCACTGTCCAGGCATGATGTCTGTTCAGTTTTTAGGATGACTCCCCTTTCAGACATTTTGCCCATTCTTGTTCTAATATGAATCCCTCAGTAGTGTGAGGTAGATCTCCGACTGGAGGAAGCGGGGGTAACAGTCCATTTCCAGGAGGCAGTAGATGCGTCTTTGAGCATGTGAGAGGGAAGTGTGAGAGGGGCCTTTGAGGAGCTCTAGGGTCAGTTCTCTCGTCTTGCTGTCCAGGTTCACCTAAAAGTGGCAGAAATGAAATTTATAGTTCACAAATATTCGCACAAAAATGATATACTGAAAGATATCCCAAATGATCTTTGCTTTTATAACAGACAATGCGATTGTGAGTGACTGTCAAGCCCCCAACAAGGCAAAAAAATTGTTACTATTATAGTATACAAAAATGTTATATATTTAAGCCTTCTAAAGTGATATGACAGATTTGTGTGAGGAAATGACCAAAATTTACTTTGCTTTATTATTTTATGCACTGGGAATATCAAGTGCCAAAAATGCCACCCCCCCAAAAAAGAATTATACAAAAATTCAGTATTTATTTTTAAGTCTTATGATAGATGAAAGATGATAGATTTGTGTGAGGAATTTACTTTGCTTTTATAATAGGCACAAGGACAATCAAGCTCCACAAAAAAAATGCTAAAATAAAAATACATGAATGAATAAATAAATAAATTTTAAAAAATTAAATGTATTTTTTTTTTTTATAAAAACTGTTCTATATATATTTAAGTCTTCTGAAGTCATATGAAAGATTTGTGCGAGGAAAGGACCAACATTTACTTTACTTTTATAATACACACTGGGACTATCAAGCTCCAAAAAAAAAAAAAAAAAAATTATTACATAAAAAAGTGCTTTTTTTCTAAGACTTCTGAAGTCATACGATTGATTGGTGTGAGGAATTTACTTTGCTTCTATAATAGTCACTAGGACTCCAGTGACTGAAGCTCCAAAAAATAAATAAATAATTTAATTAATTAATAAAATAAAATTTAAAACAAATTATATTCTAACAATGTTCTATACTTCTTTAAGTCTTCTGTAGTCATATGACAGATTTGTGTGAGGAAAGGACCACAATTTATTTAGCTTTTATAATATGCACTGGGACTATCAAGCTCTAAAAATGACCCAAAATGTATTTACTTTTTTTTTTATTCTATTACGTTATATATACCATATATATATATATATATATATATAGATATATATATATAATATATACCAAAATTTAAAGCCTAAGTTTACCATTTCTGTGGCATTATTGAAATGTGCAAAAATTAATTAAGTTGTCAGATGTTCAGCAGCCCCAGTCCCCATTTATTTTTTATTGTATGAGAAAAAGCAGCTTGAACATTGTGGAGGCAATATTTTCAATGCTGTAAACAGACAAACATACAGCCAAATTTGGCTAAATCTACCTCTCTGGGAGCACCTGGCTGGATGTAAGTCTCAGTAATCATTTTTGCCCGTCTCTGCAGGCTGAATTTGTTGGACGACTGTCTGTACTGCTCACAGGCCGAGTAGAACTGCAGGTTTTCCTCACTGAACTCGGATCGCAGGAACGCTTCAAACACTGTGACTCCCACTGAAAGGCAGGTGAGAAGAGAAAGAACCTTAATGAACTTTGGGGGGGAAAAAACAGCTATTTCTGTTTACAAATGGGGGGGTAGAGGCTCAGATGACGCATTCACATGCATGTTCTGCCATACACCCACACACGTTAAACATAACACTCACCACAAAAATCAGGAAAGAAAAAAAGCTTTGGATATCTTGAGGGTTTATCTCACACCACATACCTTCCTTCCCTCTGATTTTCTCGAAAACCCTTAAACTACGGGTTGCGACACTCTGAAGTGAGAAAATAGAAGCAGGACGGGGGGCAGGGCTCTGGACTTACAACATACTGCTGTTCCCACATTTCAACCAGTCCAGACACCAACACACACCCACCACACAATTCACAAAAAGATCCAAATGTGAAATTAAATGTCACTAGCTTGACCCTAGGGCTGGGCGATATGGGCAAAAATTCATATCTCTGTATTTTTTGGCCGATTTGCGATATACAGTATAGATCTCGGTATTTTCATTTTTATATTTGGATTTTAAAAAATCTGTATTTAATATATATATATATATATATTTCAGTTACCGCCCAATGTTGTGCAACAAAACAATACATATTAAAGGCTATGAAAACAAATAAAGTGAATGTAACCATGTAAGCCTTTATATTATGTGCAAAAAAGGGTTAAAATCACATTTCATTCTAACATTGTAACATTGCAGTCTAAAAACAAAAATAAGGCTTTTAAAGCTGAAGTTAACTTCACTAAACTAAAAATGAAAATAAATGAGAACAAAAGCACAGAGTTGTGTTAGGCTATTTTGATTACCCCATTACAGTCACTTTACAGCCAGTGCTATCATAAAAATACACTTACTTGTAGGTTTAAAATTCTACGCGTCATTATTGCGCTCCTATTTAATTGAGCTCTGTCTGTTTGACACGCATGCGCACGGCGGCGCTCGTTCACTGAAGTCTGTGACCGAATACTGAAATGTTGGTACCGTGACAACACTAACAGTTGTGTTAGGCTATTTTGATTATTACATCACAGTCACTTTACAGTCAGTGTTATCATAAAAATAGACTTACTTGTAGGTTTAAAATTCTACATGTCACATTTATTGTCCAGCTACAAATATTTCAGCGAAATGTATATTTTAGTCAGAATTATTGCGCTCCTATTTAATTGAGCTCTGTCTGTTTGGCGCGCATGCGTGCGGCGGCGCTCGTTCACTGAAGTGAAGTTTAGCAGAAAATCCCAGAAGGCTCATGCACTTCTGACAGAAAAATGGAAATATTTCCATGGCTTTCTAACATTTACAGATGGAGAATATACCTGTGAAATGTAAGTTATGCATTCAGGAAGACTCAAACACATTAAACAGAGCGAGTAGCCGTGTCTCTGTCAGCGGCACACGCTGCCTTTCTGTCAGAGCAGACGGGCCGAGCCGCTTAAACTAATATGCGAAATGAAACTATAAAATGATGTCTTACCAGTTTTTAAAGGCCTTAATATGAAGCTTGTCACATGTTTAGAACAAATTGGACGCAGCCTTTCTGTCAGAGCATATGACGGGCCGAGCCGCTTAAACTAATATGCGAAACTATAAACTATGTCTTACCAGTTTTTAAAGCTTGTCACATGTTTAGAACTGATTGGATTATGCACTTTCTCCGCAGCAGCTCAGTCTGTGTCCTCCGCTATATTTTCAGATGCGCTCGCATCAAACTACTGTATATCGATATAAACGGTATTGCCTCATATCGAATCGCTTATAAAGAAAATATCGATATATCGTACAAACTCGATATACCGCCCAGCCCTACATTGACCCTATGTGTTGGCATAAATAAATAAGGCACAAAAATATTGAACTTGAATTTAAAATGTAGTTTGAAAATATGAAATAAAATATGGTATTATGGTATATGGTAAATATGGTAAATAATGCAAAGCTTAAAAAGGTCAGTTTATAGTTAGATAAACATTTTCCATAAAATTCATAAAGTATTTGTTTGATCTCCCCCCCAATATTATAAGGGTTGAATGGTTGAGGCAATCAGTCAACACTATAATTTTTGTAATAACTGCAAACATTGAACGAGATTATGTATTTCCCACCAAGATGTAGAAATAGTCCAAAGGATGTTACTTATTGGGTGTCACAGTTTAAGAAATGTTGTAATGTGGAAAATTCATGTGGTAATATCAATTCACTACATTCTGAATCTTGTGGGTTTTGGTTAATACAAATAAATAAATTCAGCAATAAACTGAATATCAATTAAACAGATTATATCAAAATTATGATACTGTATCATTTAAATAGTTGGATTCGGTCCAAACCTCAGAGGTATGACAGCCCTAAAATTTAGCTTAAAAAAAAATGTAATAGATCTCTCGCTCTCTTTGAACAACATGGGATTTATGTCTTTATTTTTATTAAACAATACCCTATTCAAGGAAAACACCTATTATGTGTGCATGTAGAGTATACGTTTCCAAAATAGCAGTGACACAGAATGGACTGAACACAGAAATGGATCCTCACTCCATATTATACTCTGACCAAACAGTCTCAGCTGTAACTGCAAACTGTTCAACAGCTGTTTGAGAGATGGAAATGACCAGATGCTGTTAATCATTAAGTCTCATTAATAAAAATGAAAATCACTGGAACCATGACGTCAGGTATCAAGCGTAACCGTATCTGCTATTAGTCCAATGTTTACACATCACAAGCTGCACTAATAATAAAAGTTTCTTAGAAGTTATGTGTTGTTTAGACAGACTCTAAGAGAAGTTTGTCATGTACTGTATTTCATTCTCACATTTGAGGTCAGCAATAATTATCAGTGGTGCTTTCTAAGGCAACTATTGTTACCATATACAGTAAGTACTAACCGATACTGCAAATCATGCGGTTTGCTGCTACTTTTCTAAAAAAATCCAACTAGCAATTTTTTGCCTGGTGGATAATGAACCTTCCACTCAAGGGACTCGAATCATATCTATAGACCTTGTGGTTGGAGTCTTTTTCACCCTGACAGCCACTCACAAAAGCCTGGCATCATGCGACAAACTTTTCATAGACAAGCCCCACTCACATTTCCTTCTGAAAATGTAAAAATCTCAGTGGTTTCATCTGTGCAATAACACATCTGGGCTCTCAGCCTCCCGGGGAAAAGCTCATTATTCCGTGATCTAGCTTCTTCATATCGTTTCATGTTGTTTGGGAATTCTCCGGAAACTCGTGCCTGAAGCTACACATGAAAAAGGTTCCTCAATGTTAAGAGGAAGCAGTTTCAAGGGTGTTTCAATGATGTAATAGATGGGTTTCATTACTGAACCACAGAATTATACTGAACACACACCAAGCTGACCTACACTACCGCTCCAAAGTTGCATTTATTTGATCTTTATGATACTGTATCATTTAAATAGTTGGATTCGGTCCAAACCTCAGATGTATGACAGCCCTAAAATTTAGCTTTAAAAAAATGTAATAGATCTCTCGCTCTCTTTGAACAACATGGGATTTATGTCTTTATTTTTATTAAACAATACCCTATTCAAGGAAAACACCTATTATGTGTGCATGTAGAGTATAAGTTTCCAAAATAGCAGTGACACAGAATGGACTGAACACAGAAATGGATCCTCACTCCATATTATACTCTGACCAAACAGTCTCAGCTGTAACTGCAAACTGTTCAACAGCTGTTTGAGAGATGGAAATGACCAGATGCTGTTAATCATTAAGTCTCATTAATAAAAATGAAAATCACTGGAACCATGACGTCAGGTATCAAGCGTAACCGTATCTGCTATTAGTCCAATGTTTACACATCACAAGCTGCACTAATAATAAAAGTTTCTTAGAAGTTATGTGTTGTTTAGACAGACTCTAAGAGAAGTTTGTCATGTACTGTATTTCATTCTCACATTTGAGGTCAGCAATAATTATCAGTGGTGCTTTCTAAGGCAACTATTGTTACCATATACAGTAAGTACTAACCGATACTGCAAATCATGCGGTTTGCTGCTACTTTTCTAAAAAAATCCAACTAGCAATTTTTTGCCTGGTGGATAATGAACCTTCCACTCAAGGGACTCGAATCATATCTATAGACCTTGTGGTTGGAGTCTTTTTCACCCTGACAGCCACTCACAAAAGCCTGGCATCATGCGACAAACTTTTCATAGACAAGCCCCACTCACATTTCCTTCTGAAAATGTAAAAATCTCAGTGGTTTCATCTGTGCAATAACACATCTGGGCTCTCAGCCTCCCGGGGAAAAGCTCATTATTCCGTGATCTAGCTTCTTCATATCGTTTCATGTTGTTTGGGAATTCTCCGGAAACTCGTGCCTGAAGCTACACATGAAAAAGGTTCCTCAATGTTAAGAGGAAGCAGTTTCAAGGGTGTTTCAATGATGTAATAGATGGGTTTCATTACTGAACCACAGAATTATACTGAACACACACCAAGCTGACCTACACTACCGCTCCAAAGTTGCATTTATTTGATCTAAAGTACAGTAAATCTATTGTGAAATATTATTACAATTCAAAATAACAGTTTTCTATTTGAATCCCTGTTCAAATGTATTTTATTCCTGTGATGCAAAGCTGAATTTCCAGCATCATTACTCCAGTCTTCAGTGTCACATGATCCTTCAGAAATCATTCCAATATGCTGCTGCTCATGAAACATTTCTTATTATTATTAATGCATGATGAATAGAACGTTCAAAAGAACAGCATTTATTTGAAAAAGAAATCCTTTTCATTGTATTATAACATTATATTGGTCTTTCCTGTAACTTTTGATCAATTTAATGCATGCTTGCGGAATAAAAATATTCTTTTTTTTCAAACCCCCCTCCCATACTTTTGAACTGTAGTGTATATTATAATGCTACATGATCCAGTATGGATATTAGGCAGGATATGGTCCTCTCTGCATGTATCATTTTCATTAAAACAACATTTCAAGCATGGATGGGCAGTCGGCCACAAATATCTCAATTTCCAAGAACAGCTTTCCAGGTCAAAGTTAGAAGAACAACAGCTTTGACCCATGTGACGCTACGGTGTCTCACAAGCGTCCTTTGACCAGCTGCCTGGCGACTCGAGCACTTTAAAACCGAACGACTAAGTGCTCACCTCTGCTTTCCAGCAAAGCATCAAGGGACTTGGCCCAACTTTCCATCTCCTCCCTGCTGAGTTGAGCTCTGCCGTGGCCCACCTGACTCCACTGCCTGAGGAAAGGCATTTGAGAACGCTTCTCTTTAGTGCTGAGAGAAACAAAAGAGGGTGAGAGGATACATGACAAAGATAGCCAGAATAAAATGTGTGGAATCAATAACAGTGGGCCAAAATAAAGGGCTGGGAAGGGCCAGTTTTGCAAGTGGCAGGCAGAGAATAGGCCAAAAGTGAAACGGAGATGAATATGTGGCTTGATTGTTTGCCGAGGTGTTTGATTTTACCTGGTTATGTTCTCTCTGTGCTCTGCACTTGTCAAATTCGAATGCGAGGACTGCGGTGAACCCTTTGTGTGGAAAAAAAAATAAGAGGTCACTGATATGCATAACACTGTCATGATGATCTGACTTGATTCAAGACTTTAAGGAAGTATAATTTAAACAAATGTTCCATGACTTGTTCAATGTCATGAAGGTCTTGCGTCATGGAAAGCATTCTCACAAAGCCAGATCTATCGGATGCCAAAATATTTCAAAGAATGAACATTTTTGCTCCACAGTATCTCTCCGTGATATCTTGCCACAATATTGTAGATTTTTTTTTTAAAAACACACATTTGCATCAATAGTGTGATTCCCTCATACAACACCAGAACATTCAGTTCCCCTTTCAGAGCTTGCTTCTCCTTTTACTGTTTGGACAAAGCAACATTATATCTCAACTTAAACTGATTCAAAGTGAGCTTGACTACTTCTGAAATACAATTGCATTCATGTCTTTGACTTCGTCACACTTGGCTTGTGAATTCTGAATAAGCAGTGCTGTATCCTGGAGCTGAAGCCCTGCTGCTCCTGATATATGTGAAATACATCTTGTACCGTACAAAACGTTCAACAATAAAGATGGCTTGGTGGCCCAGGGCCAGTGTGAGAAAGTTTCAGACCAGTTAAAGGAACTGTTCTGCCATATCAGTCCAGTGATTACATTTTTAAATGATCTTCTATTTATCGGTTTCTGTAATGTTTAAAGTACCATTGTTTTCCCCCAAATTCTGCAGACTTAAATGAGGTAATATTATCCAGCTGTCTGACAAATAAAAGCTTTTGTGATTGTCTTGGCCTCAGTTAGAATAGATGGACAATGATAAATGAATCAGTGAGGTCTTGCACTCTATGCCATAATTTTCCATAAGTACTTATGAATATAGCTGTAATGGATTTACACTACGGTAGTGAAATTTCCAGCTATTGTTGCAAATTACAAACATAAGACCATTTGTTGTAAATATTTTTGAAACAAAAAAATACTATATTATAAAATATAAATATTAAAAAATATAATAACACCGCTGTTCAAAATTTGAAGTCTAAGATTTTCTTTTTTGAAGAAATTAATTTTACTCGGCAAGGACACATTAAATAGATCAAAAGTGACAGCAAATGTATAATTTTACAAAATATTTATATTTCAAATAAATGCTGTTCTTTCGAACTTTCTATTAATCAAAAATGTAAAAAATTGCCATGTTTCCACAAAAATGTGACGCAGCACAACTGTTAAGTAATGTTTATAATAAGAAATCATGTGACACTGAAGACTGGAGTAATGATGCTGAAAATTCAGCTTTGATCACAGGAATAAATTACATTTTATAATATATCAAAAAAGAAAAGAATATTTAACAGTATTACTATTTTTACTGTACTTTTGATCAGATGAATGCAGCCTTGGTGAGCTTGAGACAAAAACGTTAAAAACATTTATACCAACCGCAAACTTTTGAACGGTAGTGTTTGTTGTTAAAAACACATTAAAAAATGCTATATTTGGAAAAATGTATATATAAAAAAACACTTCAACTGGACCAGAAGAAAAAACTTAAATGAGTCCTGATGAAATTCACATTGTCAATATGTGAGCTGAAATGTGCAATTAATATTAAGGATTGTTTTATAAACATTAATTATACTCTAAAGAAAGTCTCCAAACTTACCTGTCCAAACAAACTTTTAAGATGTAATTTAGCAGCTGTCAGTTTGGCCCGAGCTTGCTTTCGGTGATAGAGGGGAGGTTTTGGGGAGACAGGCATATGGCCGGATTTCAGTGTGGATGATGGGGAGTGGTGCTGGGCTTCACACTTTCCCACACTCTCAAAGCTGCCTTTGGCATTGCCAGTGAGCTGGCTGTCACTGTACGCTTTAAAGCTCTCATTAAGATTCGTCACTTTCAGTAAACCAGAGTCCTTCTCCAAGTCAACCAGATTTTCCATACTAATGCTGTGATCTCTTTTAAGCTCCCCCTTTCCAGCACTCCCTGACTTTGCATCTGGGGTGCAAGGATAGGATGCTGAGGCTCCATCTGGCCCATCCTCCAAGGTCCCATCTCGATCTCCCCAGGGCAGGCAGTCCATCTCCAACAACGCACCCTCCGAACTGAACTTACGCATCATTATGCTGGATTTTGAAAGAAAGAAAGATACAGAAAATGACAGGCCTAAAGAAAGAACAACAGAACAGACAAAAAGAATTACATTAAATATACATACATGCATACAGTGTCTAACTTATCTCTATCTAACATCACTGAAATAGAGATAAGCTGCTTTAGATAGATAGATAGATAGATAGAGCAAAATTTCTTAACACATTCCCAAAGTTTTGCTTCAAAGTAACAGTGTTTGTTGTTGACTACTTGGCTTGTTAACCTAGTTAAAGGGTTAAAATATAACCCAAGTTATGCTTTACATTTGTAACAAACGAGTCCATTCAAGCCAAACAGACTCGAGACGCTTCATGACCGCACTGACAGAAAGAGACGCGACACGACGCGTCAAACCAGAAAGCTCCCGTTATCACCATCTACACTGCAAGCGAATTCGTTTATTTTAATAGGAGAGCGTCAGTTTGTCGCGTCGCGTCGCAGCGTGTAAACAAACCAACGTGAAATCTGAGCACTTGAATATGGTGCACATATGTCATAAAAACATACCTTATTTTAGATCCTTTTCATGACAAATCCTTGATCGTGTCTTCTATCCGAGCGATTCGGAGTCGGTTCGTGTTTCAAGCCGAGTCCGTGTACACAGGGATTTACACAGAGCCACTGGATCCGAAGCAAGGCAGCTGAACGGAGTGAGTCTTCGTGTGGCCGTCAAAATCACGTCTTGCTTGTCCCTCTTTTCATTTTACTCCTGAATGGCGAAAGCAACGCCTATTTTCTTTTTGTCACACCCATAGTTCAGTCTGGACTTGCCCTCCCTTCATACTTGGAAGGACATGTAGTATATAATGACACAGAGAGCGTTTATGGGTGACTAGTTGACGTCAAAATACCGCTGTGGTAACTAGCCACCACATAGAAAAGTAACAAATTACAGAACGATAAAGCTTCTAATAGTATGTGAAGAAAATAAAAGATTAATATTTGATTGTTTTGCAGTAGTAACAATAATTGTAGTAATTATGATTGGGCGTAGCATGGTTACTATGGTGCAATTTTACAATGGCATACATGCATAACAGCTGGTTGACAGTAGGTGCCTCTCTGAACGATAAACAGTATATTGTTTTTTTATATTTTATATTATTACACTATCATATTTTCTATTAATTCCTGAATGCTCTCTACTCGTGATAAATCATGATTATACCAGGTGTTTAAAATGTCACGATTGTTCTCAAACAGCGCCCTCTACAGGTAAAGCGTAGTATTATTTCATGAAAGGACAACATGTATGTCAACTTTACCCTTTATGATTGGATGAGCTGTTCTTGTTTTTAATTAAAAAAAAAAAAACATTTTTTTTACATAGCATGATTTAATTAAAATAAATACATTAATAAAAAAAAAAACCATACGATTTAGAAGAGCCAACGGGAGGCCTTTTATGTGGAACGTTTATTTAGCCATGTTGAATTTTCTGCACATTTACGAATGCAAGTTTGTCCAGTAGATGGAGGAGTTACACAACAGATGTTTTTTTAGAGCCATCAAGCTGGATTTCAAACTATCAAGATTCAAAGTATCAAGATTATACTGAGAAATACTTAATAATCTAATTAAATTCTAATAAAATGTTCTGTTCTGTTCTCATTTTGTTTCATACAGGGTTGTTGGGTTGTTTTTTAGCCCCCAAATCTGAGTTCAACCTGTTGTTACTATCTTAAAGGGGTCATATGATGCGATTTCAATTTTTCCTTTCTCTTTGGAGTGTTACAAGCTCTTGGTGCATAAAGAAGATCTGTAAAGTTGCAAAGCCTAAAGTCTCAAATCCAAAGAGATATTCTTTATAAAAGTTAAGAGTCAGCCACACCTACCTAAAACGGCTCGTTCTAACACGCCCCCAACATATCTACCACACTATGTCTTTAAAATAGTTAATCCATTTAGCCTGTTTGTATAAACATTACAAACAATTATATTTAATTCATAACAAAAAAGTCTCCCTCAGAATAACTGTGATGTGCAAATGAAAATAATACACATTCACATTACATTATAGTCACTGCAATGACTATACGCTCGTCACTGGTTCAGTATGTGTGTTGCTACATGAGCACTGAGACAGGAGTTTTTGCACGGCCCATGAGCCTCTCTGTCTATAGGGGTGCTGTGTCTTTGCATGTCTCTCCACATAGGGTCCCTCAGTTCCAGGACCAGACAAAACAACAGTCAGTTCCCAGTGGCTTTTGAGACTGTTTCCATGCAGCAATCCTTCTCCCAAGAATGCATTGTACTTTAGCCTTGAAATAGATCACAAAGTCTCTGAAGAACTTTGCATCATGGTTCAAGAAGAAATGTTGCGTGACTGAGCTGTCACTGAGCTAGACATGATCTTGAATACTAATGCTAATGTCACCAGTAGTACTCATACTAAAACTGATAATGCGTAGAATATTAATCATAGTTTTGTGTAAAGACAGATTGTGTATCAGTTCCTAGGCCTTCCTCAGCACTATCAGTGCCTTCTGAACTCTGTATTGCCGCTTTTTTACTAGCTGTGCTACATTGTCATCTCTCACAACTCACAAGTGTGCATTTCTTGTTCTGTGGATATTTCATCTCACAACTGCAACAAGTTCCAAAGAGGCTGGAGCCATATAGACTTGCATTATCCAAAGTTGTTTGTTATGGAATGTTCATGAAACAGTTTCCAGAAAGTAAGGGTTTAAAACTCATGTTTTCCTTTAAATGGGAATTTTACATGGTTCAAAATTCATGTTTACATTCAATGGGGAATTTTACTGTGAAGGCAGAAACAGTGAGACTGAGCTATTGATTACTTACTGGTGGTGAGTAAATGCAAGTGAAGTGAACTGTTTTCAATGAGAATGAATGATGGTCTGTATGTGAAGATGCAGAGATACAAAAGTCAGTCTGCTTCATTATTGACTGGTCCATAAAACCAAGTGATTGATTAAAATGATTGATTTTTATCTCATTGTGAAGTTCAAAATGTCAGATATCTTGTTTGGTGAGGGAGGTCATGAAGCATATCTGTCATTCAGTGAAGGGCTTCTCTCATCTGCTTTAAGAGCATTATTCTTGAGCTTTAATGGCATTTAGGTTGAAACTGGAGGTTTATGCTGCATTTACTTTCTCATTTACTTTGTTAAAAACACTAATCATGTAGAATCCATTAGCAATACAAGTCTATTTGAACAGTGTTTATCTGAAAGTGGAACCCTTCAATGTGTTTTGTCACTATAAACGCTATTTCAGTCCATAGTGTGTAGATGTATGAGTGTACACACTGTGACCAATGAGCTATCCGACTGACCTTAGAAACATTTTCCTGTGTGTCCCGTATCTGTCAACTGAACAAGCTATGCCATTAATTTCTGAACTAATCATCTTGTGTCAGTTCTTTCTTTTCAGCGTAAACAAAACGGTCGAGTCACTCACTGAAACGTCTGAAGCTTTTGAAGCCTGGATAAAGTAGATAATTACCTACAATCAATTAAAACAAAAGGCTTTTTAAGAGGTAACTTTGAGAAACTTCAGCTACTGTTGTGGCATGTGAACACACACACAAAAAATTGTTTTGGTGCGGTTTTTCAGTTGTTTTCTACGGTGGCCGAGAAGTGCAAAGCAAATCACAATTCTGAAAACAAAATAACAAATTACAAACGCAAATGCAAGTCTAAAAAACAAAATAACAATTCAGAAAGCACAACAACAATTCAGAAAACATTATAACAAGTCAGAAAACACAA